TGGTGGATGTTCACCATGGAAAAATACAGAAAAACCAAATCCGTTGGAAAACTGAAAGAAACAAAAGAAAACAAGTAGGAAAAACAGGTAGGAATCAGGAACAATCAGGGAAATCAAGTGGAGGAGTGCCATCAAAAAGTATACACTTTTGATTCTTTCTTTTCAAGGAATTACTACAGATTGCTCTTCTCCCTCTCGCTTTTCTCCATCAGGGTTTCTTCAGGTAGCTCAGCCTCAGTCCTTCCTCAGGGTGTGGTTCCCATTGTTTTGCATCAACCTCAATAAACCTCAGTCGAATTTGAACTGTTTCAAAAGGTTCAAAGGGGTTGCATGCCATTTAATTGCGTGTTTCGGTGCTTCGGGGACTTAAAGGTAATTAAATTGATACATATTTCATGTCCAAAGGAATGTCCAAAGGAATGCGGAATAATAAGGAATTATATGGTCAACGCCTCAATAAACAATTCACAAAAACTACAGCTCAACGGCAGAGGGACGAGCGGACTTCTACAACATAAATAAAAAGGAAGCGAGTCAAAAAAGGGGAGTGTAGGATTCAGTGTAAATAAAACCCAGCGGAATCTTAAACCGTAAATATAATGGAGACAGTGGCCAGCCGAGCCGAGCCTCAAAATTCCTTAAGGCTTAGCGCTGGTCAGTGAAAAAGAGATCAAATGGCAACGAACCCAAATTACCAGACGACATTTGAGCATCGAATACTCTAATTACATTTTGTGATTGAAAATCTAGAGCAAAACCATATCAATATCAGCAAAGATCTTGTTGCAGTCTGGTTTGAGGGAATAAAATGGAACAGAAATCAAAGTTCTAGCATAATCTTTCAGTTTTCAATAAAAAAATAATAAAAATACAAATAATTCTGGAAAATATGTCGCATTTTTTTGGTACCAAACCGCCTGTCGTCTGCTATTGTTGTATGACTCCACTCCAGTGTCTGTGGCAACGGGAGGAACCTTATCGAGTGCCTGCCTGCACCAGCAGAGATCATTTGTCAATGTGTCAACTGTTGCTATTGTTTCTGGTGTCTGCCTGCCCCCTTCGTGTGGCATCTTCCACAATGTCTCGTCGCATATTTGAAATCTGAGCAATGGAAATTGAGTAATACCCTCCGACCGACTGAGAGGGGTCGGGACAGATTGGTTAGCCGAGATTAGCGGCCGAGTGATGCGGCATTTTATAATGGAAAGAATAAGAATGATGGGGCAAGTTAAGGGGATTGGCTTTTTGCCTTTGAAAATGAGTGGCGCAGGCAGCATCATGCGATGGAAAGATACACACACACATACTTTGGAATGTATCTTTTGACAAGGCCGGTTAGTGCAAGATTAGTGTTAGAATGGATGAAAAAGTCAAAGAGCACATAGATTTTAGAGGCTTTAATTAAGGATTGAAGCTTTGAAATCAGCCGAAAATTTGAGTTAAAGCTGAGAAGGTTTCCGCAAAGCTTTCATCTATTTTTAAGAAATTTTTGAAGCATTAATCACGCTTTTGGCAACATTTTTCTTCTCCAAAAATTATATTTTTACCGCTGTAACTATTATAATCTTCAAAATTATTTATCTTACAGCTATTTCTACATCTTTTTAACCAAATCATGACTTTAAATTAAACATAAAAGTGTCATTGAATAAACAACAATAACAATTAGGTAATGTCTCATTAATGTAATGAAATTAAACCATTTTTGGTTAACGAATTGCTGTGCACTTGACACCTGAAGAGTGTCGTCACCTGTCGCAGCGAAGCAAAACCAACAAAAAAACAGAGAGAAACCTTTCACAATGTAGCCCGAAATTGGTTATACAATTTACCATTTAATGGTAAATGGCTGGCACCCAAAAGGAGACTTAACATTGAACCATGGATAATTTCACACGATCCACACAAAAACAGACAGCAAAAGCCGCAGAGAAAGAGAGGAAAAAGACAGCAAAAGAGTGCGCAATAGACACCCAAAGAGAGTGGCTGATAGGTGGGAGAGATGTTGATGGGACACCCACCTTTTTTTTCTCCACAAACTAATTGCAGGTGGGCCTCTGTAAACGAGTGTTGGCGTTGGCCAAAAGCAAAAAATATTTCATACAATTTTCTGCTCCCATTGTGGTTTTTGATTTATGTTCAAGTATTTATTTTGACAACAGCAGGCCCAAAACGAGACTTTCAAAAGTGATCAGACGAGAGACGTTTTTGTGCAAATCATTTACCAAATGCGAAAATTGGGTTAATTGTAATAGTATTTGAACAGCAGTCCATAAACGGGACCCAAAGAATATTTGTGGCAGAGAAGTATTCAAAGTCAGAGAGAGAGAGAGAGAGAGAAACCGATCTGCGAAGCCTTGAAAATGCATTTGGGGTTTGCGGTTTTGAGGCCCAGCCCGAGATACTGAATGAAAGTCATCCACATTGTCTGAATGGTTGAGTAGATCCGCAGAGAGATGCTACTACTGTACAGAATGCTGATTAGAATACAGCAAAGAGTTAAAGATACGCTCAGGTAGGTAAATGGGCAAGTGGATCAGGTTTGCCCTGAAACTGCGGGGATGTCAGCGCTTTCTTTGTATTAGAAACAATGAAATCTGTCAGAAATCCAACCAATCTCTTATCAAAGAATAACGCTGCAAAGTAGCTGCTTTCATCGAAGATTGTAAGATTCTTCAACTAAAAAACTCACTTCTTTGAGCTACAAAAAAGAAGAATAATCCACTAAGATTTTCACTTCATTAAGCAAACTTTTGTGTAGAGAATGGACGGGCACCACCGTTAAATAGTTTCTTCTGTGCATTCTTTTCATTTTGGTATTTTCTGTAATTTACTTTGATTAAATGCATTGATCATTAAGCGTTCGTTTCGTTTCGTTTCGTTCTACCCAAACGGAAAACTAGTTTCTAGAACGGAGACCCAAAAGATAGCGGCAGCTTCCTGCCATCGTCAAAGCCAAAAACTACAGCAACAACAAAAAAAGCCATTTCGTTGAAGGTAAGCCACATTTTCAAAGAAAACACACAATGAACTAGAGGAGACACCTGCTGCTGGTCCAAGTCCAAGCCGTTAGCTGCCGCAAAAACACAATGGACCCCAGAGTCCAAGTCTTAGTCTTTGCCTCAGCCTCAGCCACTGCCTTAGCCCCTGGGTTGAATGAATGGCTGTGTGGCTATGTGGTATGCAACCTGTAGATATGCCGCTTTATAATTGCATGAACCGCTTGCCGCTGCTGCAGCCGCCTGACCCACTTTATTCACCGAAAAACCCAGCTCTTTGTGGCGGAGTTTGCTGCACCCGCAGCCCAAAAACAATCATTGACTTTGTATGCACGTAAATTAGTGGCAAGTATATCCAAGAGCCCGCATGTAAGAACCAACTTAAACTCTGTTGAACTTTAAACACACATTTTCCACAAAGTAAACCCTACTTTTCCATCAACATTTGACTTTTTCAGTCACTGAAAATTAGTTAAAATTCCCCTTTCCATCGTTCCCCTCTAAATTTAAGTTTTATTTCTTGCAAAACAATGGAGGCATTGCGCAAACGCATCTCGGGCTTCTTCTTCAAGGTGGAGCCATCGAATCCTGACGAACCAAATCCCAAGGAAATACTAGAATTTGTGGAGAAGCAACGGCGGGAGGAGCAAGAGAAATCCTTGGATGAAACCGGCTTCGGTATGGACCAGATCAAATCTTTGCCTAATCGTGAAACCCCAATAGATTCTCTGAACCAACCGAATCCATCGGATGAGGGTTTCCATTTGCCGCGTTTCTTGTGGCCGCAGGAGCCCACATCAACCAACTCGAAAGGCATCGACTACCAACTGGAGTTTGTCAACTTTGTGGAGCGCAATACACCCAAGGGTTTCCCCCAGAAACTCAACGATATGCTGCCATATATGGCCGTAGGTTTCGTTGCCTGGCCAGCCTATTGGCTGTATCGTGGCTACCAGTGGCAGCACAAAAGGAATACGGAACGGATTGGCTTCTATATACAAAGGGTGAGCAAAGAAAATTGTCTTAAAAGATGCTTTAATTAGAGAGAATAATATACAAAAATACGGACAAAGTTCTAGTAGTTTGCTGATATTTTCTGGGTTTTTAGTGGTTCTTAAAGATGTATCCATTCGCTTATATACAATTTGCATATATAACCAATGAAAATTCCTTTAATTTCGTCTCTTTAAAGACCCATCAACAGGCGAAACTCATTCAGGTGGCCATTCTGGCCGCAGGTCTCATGATGGCCTTCACGGGACACCATTCGGGCAACATACTAAAGGTCCACGATGTCGACTTTAAAAACAAGGAATCCGAGAATACTGCAGACTCGGACTAGCACCAAAGTAAGCCTGTTCATAGCACTCCCCTGTGAGTGTCTATCAAATATTTGATTCCTTACAAAATTCAGTAACCAACTAAAAAAATAATAATGGGGCTTTGGAGCTATTTTGGGAGTGTGAAAAGCTGGACAGTGAACCACATCTGGCGACCTGTGACGCCCATAGCACCTCAAGAAGCGGTGGTGCCGCCCAATTTGGGCGAAGACATACGACAGGTGGTGAATGACGAGGGCTTCGAGAATGCCTACGAAACGGTAGCACCATTTTTGATGGCCGGCTTGGGCTGCTGGCCGGGCTATTGGATATTTCGAGGGCTCGACTATCATACGCACAGGGCGCACATTCCATTACCCATCTACATAAATCAGGTGAGGCGTGAAGATCTTTGGACTTTTCTAGTCGTAACTGTTTTCTTTTTTTGTACTTTTTAGACCTTTTATCAGGCCAAAATATTGCAATTGCTCATCATTCTGGCTGGCACCTTTACCGTGCTCAACAGGCAGCGTGGAAAGCGTTCGAAGATGGTTCAAACATAACAATTTTCAGCTCCCAAACATGCAACAGAAGCCCCCATACATACATTTTGGCTACAGCTTAAGAATGCTTCCGTTTGGTATACCCCGCATCGAAAAAAATTAGAGATCTAAGCGCAAACAAATAAATTTCTGGTGTCTTTAATCAATCATTTCATTAAGTATTTTTTCAATCGCACATTTCAACATTGGACTTTTGATTTGCTTTAAAATGGATTCGTTATCAGAGCTTCTGATTGCGGCAATGTTGCTCATTGAATCCGAACGCAATCCTTTCTTCATTGTCGAGTCTCCACCGTTGAATCTCCCTTGCTGATCAATGAATCTGAGCTCAAATTCTTGTTTCTAATTGCGTAAAAATCACTCTTCATTTTCATATTTTCCATTGTCTTGACCAGCCCCGATTCGATTTTCATTACACGCACCTCCTGCTTCAATGTTCTGATCATTTCCGCCAATTGCTTGGGCTGGACCCCGTGGCGCATCAACTCAATGCAAATGCGAGCCGTTTCGGGTGTTAGTCCCGAATTCACACTGTCGAGCATGCCACAAAGCACATCCTGAATTTTGCGGTCCCTTTGGGGATGCTCCTGGCAGCTATTAGGCATTTTTCTGGCATAAACTTTCAGTTGAATTAGTCAACTGTGGTAAAAGGCAGGGCCTACTGATTTTGTTTGGAAATTTTAAAACAGATTTTGGTTTTGGATTACGTTTTTGTTTGTCGAGAAATATCTCGATCACAGGCACCCATGAGTTTTCACAAATCAGATTCCCATGTCAAAAGGACGCCAGTCGCCTAAAAATATCAGTCTCATTTGGCTGTTTGCTTTAACAACATTTAACATTTACTGTCCAGCAACGACAAACAGTTTTGCACAACAAATTGTAACAACAAATTTTAACAACAAAATTGTAACAACAAATTTTCAACAAACAATTTTGAGAAAAAAATTTTAACAACAAATTTTGATTTTCGATATAAACAAAAAAAACCACAAAGAAATTCAATTCGAAGACAGAGACTGCAGAGAACAATCGCAGACAGCATGCAGAGCTGTCCCAGTCCCACAAATGAAGAGCCCCAGGAGGAGGCTATACCTGCCGCAACTGAGGATGCTGAGGATGAAACACCAAAGCCCGCCGAATCCATGCTACAGAAGCTCTTCAACCGCCAGGAGTTCAAGTTGGCTTTTGCCAAGCATTTGAGCGTCCTCGATGAGTCCGATTCGGAAGACGATGAAGACTACGACGAAGACATGCAGCGTCTTCGTCAAGGCTTCTTCGACATTATGTCTCACTTTACGCTTCTAACGCATGAAGAGATTAAAGCCAGCGGCGGTGCACGCACTGAACAGGATGTCGTGCTTGAGATCCTTGACGATCTTCGCAGGCTGCGCATCGAGTTCAAGATTCCCAATCCCGATGGCACATTCAGAACTCTTATTGAGTTGAAGAGTATTTTCCTGAGGAACTTCCAGAAGTTTGTGGACATTTATCAGATCACCGCAGACATCACAACAGTCCCCGAGGTGATGACGGTCGAGGTGATGCCTGTGGATCGCTATCCTCGTGTCAAGCTCCCCAGATCGATTCGCCACTGGTTTCCCGAACAATATCCGGAGACCATGTTGAATGGCCAAAGCCTAGAACGTTTGCCAAGTTTGGCCAAGGGCCAGACGCTGCAGGAACTGTTGGAGAAGTGGAATTCCGCACGGTCGTCCAAGAAAGGAGACCAGAAGCAAACCTGAATAGAAAGATCCCGAGCTCATAAAATTATCATTTGTTAAGCCATCAGAAATATATACACAATCTTCTACTATAATCTTTTTTCCTCAATTCTTTTTCCAATCAACGCTCTACTACACTTTTGTGCCACTTTTCGTGCCCCAATCGAAAAACCCTGCCACATAAACCCATTACCAGTTTTAATCTGCTCGGTGGCAGCCTGAAGCTCCGTTTTCAAGTTCAAAGTTCAGTAATGAGCTGCCACCTGATGCCTGGTGCTCCACTAAACTTCCCTCCCCGGCAAGACCCGTATCTGTGGTATCTTTGTTGCTGTGCTGATTGCGCACCCCGCGGCCAGCAAGTGGAAAGATAAATTAGCTGCAAATTAAACACAATTATATACGCCACAGAGAGGCGGCACGCTCCAGTCTACGCAGAGAAAAGACTCTCTTAGAAATGAAATATGGAAAGAGATGGAAAAATCTCCGCTGGCAAAACAATTAAAAAGCGCTTATAAATGAAGATCTTTCATTGTTTTTCCTCTTGGTGTGCTGTCTCAAGCCCGATAAGTGCGAGCAAACACTTCTTTTTCCCTACTCCAGAGGGTAGCACAGCACCGCGTTGTTTTGTTGTGTGTGATCTATGGGCTAGCGGTTCTCCGTAACGTTTAGTTTTCTCACCTGTATGAGATACATTTTGCAGCAGCTGTATCTGTATCTTTCTGTCTGTGTCTTGTTCCGTTTTGAATGCTAATTATGCAGCAAACTCCTGTGGCAGCAACTGCATCTGTTTGATGCTGATTCTTTTATCGTTTTGCTCTACTTCGAATTTAGTTCACTTTTGATTGCTCGAATTCCTATCGAGTTTATGCCCGTGCAAAATGCCAAATGAAAATGTAAGGAAAATCTTTGCTTGCTATGAAAATCTAAAACTTCACTTCAGAGCGAAGCAATTTCCAGCACTTGAAATTAAAGTTTCTTCGTTGGTTTTTTGGAAATTAAAAGGGGTTGTTTGTCGGCCGTGTCTTATTGTACAGTCTTTATATAGTCGGGCTATATAAACGCAATTAGTCATCGGCACCGTATAAAAAACGTAACAAAAGTTGGTTAATAAGAAGGAAGTGAGTTTTCCTTGGGGTTGGCTTCCACAGAGGGTTGGTTGGTAACACACTTTTTCGGTTTTTGTTTTATTTGTTGACCCTCGCACTATGGGAACTATGCTCGCATTTTGTTCACTTGTTTCACATGAGAAATGCCTTCACAAGGTGGCTTCTTCGCACACACAAAATCGATCAAACAAATACATTTCAAGGCACAACAATCCGTAAGGCGCAATCTATGGATAATTGAGGCACATTCTATGCTGTAGCTGGGAGGCACAATCCGCTTGCTTATAACTTGTAGGCACACACGTATTCTGGAGGTACCTCTGCGCAGGCGCTTTAACTTTACTTTAACTTTTATTTACTGTTACATTTATTTATACAATTATTTACAGTTCGTCGGTTTGTTAGCGGGGTGTTTGTTTTTAGTGCATTTTAGTTTTCTTTTTATCGCAGGTGACCATTTCGATGGCGTGGACAAGGCAATACTGAGAGTCTGCCTGTGGAATTTACACAAATCGAAATTTTTTATTTTCAAACTTTGCTGTGCGCGCGGGTTTGGGCTCCCATTGTGAATTGTGTATCATTTGTGAATGGGCAATTTGTGGATGGCAATTTCTTGTCCGGGAATTTCTCACAGGTTTTTGATGAGAGCGAGCGCTCATAACTGCGTACAAATTATAGCATGTTGCTGGAAAACACGCTGTGATATCTGTAGACTCAATTTTGTATAGAATTTCTGAGTTTAAAAGGTAAAAGAGCTAAAAATTTGAATGAATATAAAAAAAGTTCAATAGTTTCAACCAAAGAATGAAACTTGCTTAACCGGGCCATAACATTGTTGCTTGTTTTCTAGCAGTTACCCAACTCTGTTGGGTTGCAACATGTGTCCAGAAATGTTTAGTCGCTCTCACTCTCTCTCTTGCTTGTGGACTCGATTCGCGTGTGTGGACTCCAACCAGCTCATACTCGCACATGTTGTATCGCATGGAAATATTGCTGATAACCGTGCAACATGTTCGTGCTACATGCTCGACAGATTCTTTTTGGGGGCTTGAAATTGGCTTTGACATTCGGAATTTGGATTATTTTCGTGATACATTACCACCCCCGGTGGGGGTGTGGAGAACTATCAGATAGAAGTGGAGCACTGCCACTGTGGGAAGCCGGCGCCCACTTGGAATTTTCTTAATTTGTTGATTATTCCGGCAAGTGAAAGGCAAAGTGGAACAGAAATTGGTCTTAATGGAAGCTAAATGAATTAAATAGGTGATGGAAGCCCAAGGGAGAGGCATACTTAGCATGGGGTTTAAGCATTAGTATAACCCGGAAGATACAAAGTTTAATCCCCTTCAATGCATTAGGATCAAATTAATTTCTGTTACAAAGTAGAGCAAAGAAACTTTCTTCTACAACTCCAGCCAGATCTCGCCAAAAAGCTGGTTGCCCCTCTACGATCACCAAAACCCCTCCATCAGTGGCAGCAGCAGCCACCGCCCCAATCTCAATCCCAGGCGCAACCTAATCCGAACTTCAATCCCCCCCAAACCCCACACCCAGTCGCATATCTTTCTCTCTCTATCTCTCCGTGGCTTGTGGAACGCATTGCAACAGGTTCGCGGCGGCATAAGAAAAAAGTCCGCAAAAAAGGGAAAAAAACAAGAGGCCCCCATAATAATTAATAACGATCGACCGAAGCCCATGCGAAATGCTAAAAAGGAGAAGGAGGTTGAGGTAGAGGTAGAGGAGGTGGGGAAGTGCGTAAATAAAATAAAGAAAAACAGGAAATTTTGTTGTGCGGCATAAGACTGTTGCAAGAGATGTAAGATGCCAGATATTTCATAACCTGTCAACGAAAGAGCGAGCGAGATGAGAAAACTGCGGATGGATCAAAGTGGTGCAAAAAGGAGGTGGAAATTGCAAATAATTTCATTCAACAAAACCCAGTCAAAGAAAATCCTGAAAACCTCAAATCACATCTACTTTTTCTCCCTCACCCTCTCTGTCGGTAAATGAAAATGAAATTGAAACTCTGGCGCTTCGATTTGGCCAATTTGTTGTGGCGCGGCTGGCTTTTGGCCATGCCTGCCTGATCTTCTGGCATCTTGTGGCATAAATGTGTGGCACCCCGTGATAAATGCAACGAATCAGAAAATGAAACAACAACAAAAACAACAACCTGCAATCAAGCAAACGAAAGTGAAACAAAAGCGCCGCACAGACCAGAGACTGGGAGAGGAACGTACAAAGAGCGAGGAGCAGGAAAAAAAAAACTTGCAATTTCCATTTTAAATACGCAACAACTTTCGGCTAGAGGCAGGCCTCCGCCATATCCTACACTGAATCAGCCTCGATGGAGAGTGGCAGGAGAGGTAGGACCAGGCCCAAACCAAAGACCCAGAGAGACAGCCAGAGACCCAGAGATAGAGGCAGACATAAACAACCCAAAAGACTTGGCTTACAGACTCTGCCAGCCGTCGACTGTTTGTTGTCTGTGGATCGTCTGGCTCTTGATTGGAGGCTGCCCCAAAGCATAAAGAGTTGAGAGGGAACGCGGAGACAGCCCTGAAAGCAGCAAACGACAGCAGAGGGAAGAGAAAAGAGCTCTGAAAGGGCGCAGGAAACATCCATGAAGTAGAAATCTGTAGTCTGAAGTTGGTGGAGTCTGTGGAGAGCCTTTGGGATTCGCTGCTTTGGCGCATGGGGGTATGTCATCAATATAAATTTCATTTCGCATTCATCATAATTTTCATGCATTTAATTTGTATCATAAATTGTCTGCTTTCTGGCTTTTAGAATCTAGTAAACGACTGCAAAAGCGACTGCAGATTGCTGATTCCAGATTGCAGATGAGTTTCGAAGGCCATAAAATCCAGAGATTCACAGATATGAAATCTTCAATTAGTTTCGTGTGGGTGGAAAATGTTGTAGGAGAAGAAAAATGGAAAAGAAAACAACTGGCGTGGGAGAAGTTATGTTTATGATATAAATTCTGGATTTGCTTTTGTATGTGGAACATGCGAAAAGATGAAAACTTCAATAGGAAAAGGAAGCATAGCGGAATTTCCTTCAATTTATTTCAGAGAGTTGTCTTTAGATTTCCGCTAAAGCTACAGAAAATATTTTGTTTATTTCTTCTCAAAAATAAGTTCTAAAACTGCTCTCAAAAATCTCAAAAATTGCTCTTCAGCCTATTTGAAGCCCCAAAAACAATTCACTAAATTCTTTGCAGTTCAAACCCTTCTTCATTGCTTTTTCCTGTCACATTTTCACTTTAACTTTGCAGGCGGAATACATCTAGCTGGGAGACTGTCAAACAGGGAGGCTCATTGATCATCACGCACTTCAGTTTGCACATCAGGCAGAGTCATTCAGTCGGGCCTTCAGCTAATTGACATACCCCTGGAGAGAAGGAGACATTAAACCCACCAGATGGATTTGCAAATGAGCAAAAGGCACCACACAAACAGACATGTTTAAGTTACGAACAACCCAGAGATTCAATGAGTATGAGCAGCAGCAGCTACGTCGAGTATCTCGATGCGCACACGTCTCTGAATGTTGTACAACTATCAATAACAACGAAATAACACAAGATAGAGATACAGGAGACAAGTGGCATGAGGCATGAGGCAAGAGGCAGCCGACGACTGTCTGTAGACTGGTTTGTTGTTGTTGTCTTCGCTTTGGGTTGAAGATCGTTAGGCGCGACAAGAGGTCATCAGGTAAAGGAGGAAGCCTAAGGTAATGAGCAGAAGACACAGAGAGGGAATGTGGCAGAAAATGAGGCTCTTCAGCGGAGTATCTCACGGGTTCACAAGTGTTTTGTGGTCTCCACTCTCTCTCTCTCTCTCACACAAATGAGCCAATAATTTCCGTGGTCTCGCCAGCGTCTGCAGCAGATATCTGCTCGTAATCATTCGAAAATTGATTGGGAAAATCCATTATATGAATCATTTCTGCGTAGGGGATGCGTATGCACATGCTAATGGCTGCATCCTACTGGAACTTCCTCATAAAAACCGTAACGTTACGCCTCGAAGAGGGGAAGTCCTAAGTAAACAATTTTCCACAGTTTTTATTGACTTACGCAATGATTTCCTTTTTTATTGTATGGAACGGAAAACTTACCTGCAAAAGACAAGAGAGTTTTGTGGATTAGTCATTTGGCATAAGGAAAAAAGACATAGAAAAACATTTCACAAGGCGATAGATTACACAGAGCGAAAAAGTGAGATCAAAGTGGAGAGTGGCGAGACAAAAGTGGAGTGAAAATGTCGAGAGATATGCGTGGAAATGATTAAGCAATTTCCGTTGACATGCAATTTTTCCTAAATAGAGCAATCGACGAACAGTAAAGAAAAGCCGTGGAAAATATGGGGGGGGGGGGGGAACTATTTATCTTCAATTCCCAGTCATAAATCAAGTTTCTCGATTGAGGTTTTTGCGACAGATTTGTGGCTAACCAAACGACAATTAATGCTCATGGAATGCGTGGTAAAAGATACTGCACAGATGGAGATACTCTAGCTGGGGTTTGCTTTGACTTTGAGGACAGCATTTGTGGTGCAGATACTTGAGGTATAAATAGAATGCCTAATAGATCTACTAATTCCTTTTTAATCCCTTCTCTCAAGCAGTTCCTACCGACTTAAAGGACCTTCTGTTATGCCTTTCCTGTTCCCGTAGATTTCCCCTGATTTTCCATTCATCAACCACCAACCTGGGCCTGCCCTGATCCCAGTTATACCACGAACTACCCATGCAACTTCCTTGTTTTCCCAGGCTGCCAATTCTCTGCTAACCTCTACTGATGTCTTCACTCATAATTCTCTGGGAAAAATATCTCCATCGCCCATGCGATCCACCCTCGTAAAGAAAGAGATCTTCGACACCTGCCTGCCGACGACCTGTTGCCTGGTTTGCTGTGGTGGCGCAACATCTTTCTTCTCTCTCCACTCAATTGATGGATGGACAAGCCGAGAGATACTTGCGCCAAGCCAACACATTGGTGTGAAATTTATTTTGGTCAGAAAAATCTCTTTTGGAGGCTCCACAGTTCAATGGATGTCGAGACATAAAGGGTCTCCTTTTCTTCAGTTTTTTTATGGACAGTTAAACAATTATATTTGGTATTTACGACTGACAGACTAGCTGGGGAAATATGAGAGATGTAAAAGATGATGCAATGCGACAATCGATGAAGGAAAGGCAGGGAGGCCCATTGCCAGGAGCTGAAACCAGAAAACGAGCACTGGCACTGGCTCTTGGACCTGGTCTTTGGGCACTTTCGTTTTTCGCTTTCGCAACGCGCTGCGCGAGTACTTTGTTGCTTTGCTTTTTGTATCCAGTTGGTCACGTAATGTGCTTTGGTTTTGACCATTAAGAAATTCTTTGTAGCCACGCCCAGCAAGTGTCGGTCGGCATAAATCACACGAGTGGTGGAAAAGTGCCAGCCCCCACTTCGATG